ATCTATAAGTTCCTTTTGAGATAAACTTCCGGTAGATGCTCTATAATTAAATTAATAATTAATACAAACAGCACTATTTGGTTAGCTAGGAAACAATTAAATAAATACCTGTTTTTTCTTATTTCTTTAAATTCTTCTACAGAAGTTAAAATAATTTGGTTAAACTTATTTCTGAAGTCGATGAAAAATTTTCAGGTTTTTTCGAGGTAGCTTTTAGCTTCGTTAGAATGTATTTTTATTTTGAAAATTTTGTTATCAACTCATCAAAAACTTCACCACGCGGACTTCTTGCACGTAAAAAAAGACACTTGACACTTTCGTCCCATAGACGAATTTTATCCTAAAATATTAAAAATACATTATTTAAAAGATTTAGACAAATAAATATTATCATGTTAATTTAATACATACGTCCGTAATTTTACTGGATGATGAGATAGCAACATCCGTATTGTTCATTTCTAGTGCCAATCTTAAAATTTCTGGATGGTCGACGAGCCAAGCAACTAGTGCTCTACACGAGCCAAGCTGGCTCATGAGCTGGCTTAAGCTTTTCAAGCTGAGCCAAGCCAAGCCATGATTAAATTGGCTTGGTGGCTCACGAGCCAGCTTGGAAGAGCTCGAGCCAGTTATTAGGCTCAGCTCAAAAAGCTCGAGCCTGTAACAGACTTGGCTCAAAAAGCTCGAGCTGGCTCATGAGCCAAATAAGCTATTATACAAAAAACGTTGCGAAACGTTTTTATATAATAATGCATGCATAAACGAAACGTTTTCGCAACTTTTTTTCATTGTTTATTAAAGAACGTTGCGAAAACGTTTATTTAAGTTTTTACATGTAAAATTGAAAAAAAAACGCCGGAACTAATGATTCCGGCGGTTTTACATGTAAAATTGAAAAAAAACGCTGGAACTAATGATTCTGGCGTTTTTACATGTAAAATTGAAAAAAAATGCTGGAACTAATGATTCCAGCATTTTTACATGTAAAATTGAAAAAAAAACACCGGAACTAATAGTTTCGGCGTTTTTACATGTAAAATCAAAAAGAAACTGCCGGAACTAATAATTCCGGCGTTTTTACATGTAAAATTGAAAAAAAATGCTGGAACTAATGATTCTGGCATTTTTACATGTAAAATCGAAAAAAAAACGCCGAAACTATCAGTTTCGGCATTTTTACATGTAAAATCAAAAAGAAAAACGCCAGAACTAATGATTCTGGCG